CAAAAACTTGAGAGGGAGACCTGTGGGAAAAAAAAGCGAAAAGCGAAACTTTTCAAAGCTGAAAAGTGGGAGAAATATGCGCCAAAGTTAAGGCCTCAGATTCAAGATGGGCAGAGGCTTCAAAATCAATTGACAAAAATAAAATCGCCAGGATTCGCGGCGTGGCAGGCACTGACGCTGGTCGTTTGGGTCGACTGAAGGACAACGTCTTGGGCTGCAACATGCAAGCAATCTGGTTCCCCAAGCTGCCAGCTCAGGCCCTAATCAGCGTCAACAGGCTGAAGGATGACGCATGGTCGACTGCGTTTTCTCCGCACGGAGATTCGGCAACAAACTTGATCACAGGAGCGCTTGTCAGCTTAGGAGCGACCGCGAAAGGGCTCCCTAGCATGCCGAGTCTTGAGCTACGGCAAGGCGATCCCCGTCTTGGTTTCTACATCTACTGCTCTCCGATGCGTGATCAGGAGTTCGGTGGTGTCGGTCTTGATGAAGTTTTTGAAGCACTTCCTCCTGCTACGAAAAGCGCAGCTGTGCGTGCTGGAAGAAGGAGGCGAGGCCCTCGTGATAATCAGAAGTCTGCTCGTGGTAAACTTCTGCAGCGCTGGAGGATGGTTCATATCCACGACAAGGGCGAGAGAGTGACCTGCCTGGACTGTATGCAGGCGAAATTCAGAGGGATGGGAGCTGATTCAGCTAGCTCTTCTGCGCAGCAAGATAATCTGTCCCTCGTGCTGTTCTCGACTGACTTCTTCATCGGTCCAGTAAAGCCCACAACCTATCGTGGAAGCACGGTCGTCGTGCTGTTTGTCTGCAACTCCTCACAGTATATTGTCGGCCGCTCCCTCCCTGCAAAATCATTCGCCCCGATGGCAGTAGCAAGCTTTGTCAGGGAGATTCGGAGAAAAGTCGGCGCCAATATACTGTCCGGGGAAACAGCAACACAGATGATTTCAGTGGGTCTTAGAAGCGACAACGCGGCCGCGCTAAACTCGGCCGACATGGTTTCAGTCTGTGAGCGATACAACATAGCGCACTCGTTCAGCATCCCCCATATGCCGTGGACTAACAGTCACGCTGAACGCGCAGTGCAGAGTCTGAAAAACGCACTGAGATCTGTGATGCTACATGTGGATCCTCACCTATGGGACTATGGCCTTCGAGCTGTAGTTCATGCGTGGAACCTCATGCCAAGAGTAAACAAAGAGACGGGCATCGCGCGCGCACCGCTAGAGACCCTCAGCAGCAAGGTCCAAAACCCGACGAACAAGGTCAACGTCGAGAACAAAAAGGAGCACCTTCGTCGGTTTGGTTGTTTAGCTATATTTCGGCCTGGCAGGACGGAGTTAGCAAAACAGGACGAGAAGAGCTCAGCTCTCTCTCCGAGGGCACTCAGAGGTGTTAATCTTGGTTGGAGCGACGAGAACTCCTGCTGGTTGATAGGTTGTCTTCCCAATCCTACTTCAGAAAGATTTGCTGTGTATCAGTGCAGCAGCGTCGTGCTCTTGGAAGAGATACTGGCGGCAAATGTGAAACAGTTGCGCAGTAACAGCACTGCGGCTCTAGACGAGCAGATACTAGGGAGGCTGAGGGCATCGATCGCTCCTGCTTCTGCTGAAGCTTCCGCTGGGGTAGTTCTAAAAACTGCCGTAGGGGAGTCGCTGAAGCAAGACCAAGTGGGATCTTTGTCGGTAGGCCGCGCGTCAAACAAGATGCTTGAGCACATCGATGCTCATCAGGCTCCTGCTCCCACCGCGGACAGCGAGTCAAAACCGCACGTCGATGCGTCTGGAGCCGAGCTTCCACCCCAAAACCGAGTGGACAGCACGCCGGCACTCCAGTATGGACCTCTTTTCCGCCCTGCCAGCGAGGTGAAGAGAGGTCGACCTTTAGGCGCAAAAGACAAGCATCCGCGAGTCCGTCGCACGAAGGAGCAGATCCTTGCTCAGCATCAGCAGCAGTCTAGTTTTTACGAAGCGATGTGCAGTCACCTTGAGGAAGAGGACGGCGGGGAACTTATCACCGGTGGAATTTTTCTGGCCAAAGATCAAGATGGGCACAACGTCCCACCTGGTGGCGCTACAACTCCTGGCAAAGCCTTCAAAAACGAAAATCCATACCGCCCTCGTTGGATCGAGGCCACCAAGGTTGAGACAGCAAGACTGGAATCTTATCGGTGTTGGCGCAAGCTAGTTCCTTCTGAGTGCTCCGACTTCTACGCCGGAAGATTGAAGTGCGCCCCGACTGCACTCCCGTCGACGAGAAAGCGCTGCGGGCGCTACGAAGCAAGACTAGTGGTTCTTGGAAACCGTTGGCAGGTTGAAGCCAGCTCAGACGTCTCGCTTTACGCAAGCGTGGCGTCGCATCTCGGTAACCGGGTAGCGCTGATTTCTGGTGCAAAAAGGAAATGGTCGATGAAGGCCTTTGACATCGGTAATGTCTTCACTCGGGCAAGTATTCAGCATCATCGAGTGGCAGTATCGATCCTCGAACAGTTCAGGGATGGCGAAGGAGATGATGGTCGACGTCTTCTCCTAAAAGCCTTATATGGCCTTCCGATTTCACCCAAGCTGTGGGGTGATCAAATCGCCAAAGACCTTAGAAGCCTTCGCTGGTCAGAAGCAGTCGCTGAACCTGGTCTGTGGCGCAAGGTTGATGCTGATGGCGAGCTAGTCGCAATTTTGGCCATCTATGTTGGCGACTGCGTGGCGATTGCGAAAACAGATAAGCTAGTGGACCAGCTGACTTCTCAGGTGCACCAGCTTCACCTTGTCACGATGATCACCATGGAAAAAGCACCGGAAGAAACGGATCTGCCCGACGCTGTGAGATTCGACTTGCTTGGTGCAGATTGCATTTACTCAAAACAGCAGGGAGTACTGCGCATCAAGGTGCCAACTTACGCTGAGAAAGTCCTCAAGAAATTTGACATGCATCAGAAAGACCTCAAAACGCTTCCTACGCCGGACTTCGAGGAGGGTCCGGCGTACGCTGAAGATGCCACTCCCTCGACCTTCCCGCTCAGGGCATTGGTCGGGGCGCTGCAGTGGTTGACCGTGACAGCGCGCCCTGATCTCGCTGCGGCTGTGAACAAGCTCGCAAGAGCCACTGCCAACAAGGTAAGCAAGGCGATGGAATCTGCTGGGCGCAAAGTACTTCGGTATCTGGCTGGTGCGAAAGATGTTGGCGCTGAGTACTCGCCCCAGGCAGAGCGCAACTTCTATCAAAAAATTAGCTGAACTAGAGAGTCACCCTGATAACAGCAAGTGCGATCGAAAGTCATTCAGTCACCCTGCTGCGACGTATGGCGACGCATCGTTTGCTTCTACTTATTGCAAAGCTTAACTACCACAAAGAGACTTGCGCCCCTACCCGGCTGATTTCTTGAAAAGTGAATTTACAAAAAAGCTTATTTTTTGACTTTGGAAATGCAACTCGGGAAGAGAGAGAAAATCGCGCCACAGGCTTTCTGCTGTCGCAAGTAATAAACGGAAACGCAAACGCGTGAGACCTACCAAATTTCCTGCGGCTACTTGCGTGCTGTTGTATTTCTCGGATAGATTGACAGACTAGGGAAAGAGTCGGAGCCAGCCAGCCGGCTTTGTTTGTTTCTTAGACATATCCGACGATACTCGACGCAGGCTGCATCCATGCACCCACTGAGTACCGCGGTCGCTACCAAGTTGCATACTTACATAGCTTGCTTGCTACCAAGCAAAACAAAGCAAGGGGCGCCGGTCTTTTGTTTCGTGCGTTCCTTCGTTCTGTTTGCTATGTCCTAGCCAGCTTGCAGCGGGCCACGCTTTTCGCGTCTGTTTGAAATTTCATAACTAGGCGAAACCAATGGCCAACAATGCGACACGGGTCTACGCGATCGGGGGGAGGGCCAGAGAGGTTGCCAGCCTTCTTTTCTTCGCGTTGAATTGTTTGAGTTAATAAATACACTCATAGGGAGGAAGCTAGTTTGTTCATTGTAAGAAAGTAGCTACGTATTTATTAATTAGTTAGAAAGGGTTCGGGCTCGCACGTGAGTCAGTCGGCCCACTGTGTAGACGACGCAGCGACCCCAACGGAAGGGCGTTCGGATGCGAGATCGGTAGGCGTGCGCCTACGTATTTTATGGATTGCTGTTGATGGAGGTCACGCAGAGGCGTGGAGAATGCTTGTCCCAGTAAGTGGCGTGCCGTGTTGCTCTCGGGCTCCTGCGTCGAAACAGTTGCCAGGAGTGGAAGCCAGGTAGTGGGCCTCGTGGTTCACTACCATCTGCACGGTGCGACCCATCAAACCAAGGAGACAGCTAGATCCATCGTCGCTCGACAACAAAAAAAGCAGCTGCTGCGGCTGAGTGATGCATAAGCGAAGCGCCATCCTGATGCTAAGTAACAAACTTCATCACTTGACTGTTATGGTTACGGATGAGGCAGGTGAAGCTCCAAGGTCCTCAAGCATAAAACTAAACAAAGTCAGTGCTTATGTATCTGCAGTCCCGCGAACTAGACAAGAAGAGCCAGCAGTCTAGCTATTATTTCGTAGCCCATTTATATTACCTTGCCTTGTTTTTGTTATCAGTATTGATCAGCTCCCATTGGTTTTCTTATGTTGGTTGTAGCTAGGTCACCTCGGCGTTCCTCCTGCGACCATTTTAGTGCTTGACTGAAGTCACTGAAATACCATCGAGGATGGATCGATCGCGGTGCTTAGGTTTTGCGACACTCACATACTCACTCGCTGTTTTTCTGGAGCGAAGTGAACCGAGTACGTAGCGTCTCTCTGGAGGCAGATCTACACTCATCATGATCGTGCCCGCTTAATATTTAATATATTACTAACTTAGTCTGTGGCCCCATCGTGCGCACCATTTGACTCGAGAAGTTGTTTTATTGACAAGGAAGTCTGCACAATTTGAGTTATGTACTTTTTCCTCTAGCGAGTCGGTCGGATCGATTCGAATCCAAACGATACGCGCTGGAGCAGGACGCAGCGCGCCTATTCTAATTCGATTGATGCTCTCAGGACCCTTTCGACATAAGGAGGTCCCTTACCGTGGGGACCGGATGGCTTGGATCCCGCGATACAGCAACAAATTCACAACTGAAGACTCAGTGAGTCTGGAACACACGGCGAGCGAAGCAAGCAGCAGATCCCTCTAGGAAAAGAGAGACGAACTCTCTTTCGTCGATCATGAGCTTCTTGAAAGAAGCCATATTTTATAGATCGTATAAATTTCATACTCGTTTTTCCATCTTCGTGCTCGGTTTTTGTTGATCATGCGCACAGCTGAAAACTGTTCTTCCTTCTTGTCGTCGATGGTCTTACTTCCGTTTCTTTGCTAGCTAGTGCGTGACGTCATTGGATGAGTAATTGAACTCAATCAATGCGTCATCGATCAAGAAAGAGCAATTATTTTATCTTGCTGTCGGGGAGTCAATGGGTCCAAGTATGTAAGCTACCTAGTGTGTGAGTCGACTACTTTTTTTGGTATCTGCAGCAGTATGGGGTATATCAAAAGCATTCTGAGCCTGTTGAAGGAAGTTGATGCCTTTGCTTACGTTCTAATCTAAGCGAAGGTCTGGAATTTCTTTCATAGCATGCACAACGTATCACATCACCGCTAAGCCTATGCTTGCTTCATTCAAGAAGGAACTTCACTGAAATCGAAGGGCGCTGCGAATGACGTGCGTGCTTATTGTTTGTTCATGTCTGTTCCTCTTGGGGGGCCAGTGTCTACGTTGTCGCTTACTATCAGAATTCAACTGAGCGCTTCGTCCTTGCAGAGTCAAAGTATCTAGTCTTTTCCTACTTTCTGACGCTTCTGCTTTAGGAAGCGGATGTCGGTACCTATAGGCCTGTTGCTAGTAAGACACTCCTCGTGAAGAACTTACTCAATCGGTACACACTAGACGGCCAAGAAATCGAAGATAGAACGTTGCCTCGTTTCGAGAGTATTTGCCTATGAGTGTATCGCTAAACCTCGTCCGTCGACCTTCATTGATTTAAAATCATTTTTTTCAGAGAGACACTGACTGGAGTTCAAGAGTGAGAGGGGATGCTTTTTTTATAAGAGTGAGAGCAACTAACCCAAGTGAGTGCCTTAGTTGGCCGATGAAATTCTTCGACCGTCGTAAACTGACAAGTTAGGCGCAATGCATTTCGCAGGGACCTTGTGCTATATATTATATGTGGATGAGGGGAGACAGAGAAGATGAAAGGAGAGACTTATGAGGAGAGACGAAATCGAAGTGCGTGCCTATAAATGTGCCCTATATTTAATCGAACTCAAATGGGGCTAAGAAGCATGCTTTTCTACGAGTCAGGAAATGTTAGTGCTACGAACGGCTATTACTGAAGGAATGCCTTGACTGAGAGCCTTGATAGGTAGAAGAAGCGCATCCATCTGCTTCCTGTCCGTCAGTCTTCAGTTTGTGACATATATAACGCACGGCCATGCTACTCTATTTATTCAGCGTTCAAATTCCAATACGTCGGGGGATCCAGCGGAGAGCAGGAAGACTCAGCGGGACATACACAGCCTGACTGGGACTGCGTATGCGAGCCATTCTATTAAGGAGAACCGCCTAAGGAGGTTAGGGCCTGACTTTGTTTTATGACAGAGCGACACGATTACCCCTCTGCTCACGCTCACCTCCTAGCATGTCAAAGTAGACAGACTGATGGGCCAAGCTCCACATGATGCGGAGCTAGCATACTAGCTCGCACATAGATCAACTTGCTATACTGATCACTGAGAACCTTCGGCCTAGGAGGTGAAGTGAAGGGGTGAGTATATCCATGCTCATAAAAGGGATGGGTTGGGAATAGATTCTGCCGATGGATCGATGCGTCTGGCATCGGTGTGGATACATAAGCATGCAGTGGAGCATGCAAAACTAGCACAAGAGGAAGCAGGCTACAGATCTTTTAAGTTCTATTCTTTGCGAGTAAGATAACTCCATTGATTTATTTGCCGATAGGTCGGGCGTCTCTTGAATCTATCAATCTATCAAATCAAAGTACTAGCGGCTATGCCTCTACCTTGGAGCTATAGTTACACACTGGTAGATCGAAAGACAGAGGGAGCGCACCTAGTTAAAGGCTTTTCTATTTATAGATTGCTGTTCATCGTGTCTCTGTTGCTACAATCGATCTCACCGCGACACCGTCAACAATTCGAATGAATTTAATTGAGTCAGGTAATTTACCGTAAAGGTAATGTTACGAGTGGAATCAAACAATTTGAGAACTCAGCTCAGTTTTCCCTATGATTGATTCTAGGTAAGTTGGAGCGCTTTTCCTACTCATGAAAGGACAGGCTTCTCTATGATTCATTGATTCACCCCGCCGTCTATGCTTCCGCGTGGCCCTGCAACCCCCTTCCTTCTAAGAGAGACAAGAGCATGAGACGACCGGCCCCGTATGCAGAAAGCACATGCTTCATCCTTATTGGCGGTCCGCCATGTTATAGAAAAACAGTACTAATTAATGCACAGAAGATTGGAGTAGCTCACTTGGGTAGATATTTATTTCCACAGCTCCCACCTTCTTTATATATAGCACACTTTTATTAACAAATTTAAGCCAGGAGTAGCTTACTGAAAATGACGTCTGTCCGTGCCTTTGATTCATACGTTGGCTCATATTTTTAAAATCACTTATCTCGAAAGAGTCAGGCACATTGTACAGCATCTAGTTCACAAAACAAACGAAGTCGGCTGTATGCGACGTCATTGCGTCTTCAATCACGTCGATACACAATAGCGGGAGACTCAGATGCAGCACGCTCTCACTCTACCTAGGAATGTCATGTGCATGAATGAGACGTGAAATCTACAGAGTGAGATCGCATGGCCAGCATTACATACTAGTCCTCCTTAGTTGAGTATTCTTGTTTTCGGTAAGTTTGTTACCGCTGTCACTTCACTAAAAAACTGAGCGAAACCCTTCACCCCCGACGACTCCATGAGATCAGCATGCGAAAGCAACAAGAGACTTTTCTCACGAATGCTATCCTACTGAACAATAACGATCTTTACACAATATGCTCAACATTGGAGAAAGATTGAGTAGCAAGCTGGGCCGTGGAAAGAGTAATCGATCCTGCTTTCTTATACAAAGAAACGCTTTTTATTAATACTATCCCTGAGGAACGGCGTCAGTCGCGCTATCTACCTATCTATGAACCTCTAGTGATGTTCCTCCATTCTAAACTACACTATCTTCTTCCACCACCAATTACCACATCTTCGCTGCTGCTTTGCTGCTGATGGGTCCCACCTTCTTGCGTGCACCCTGCGTAGAGTTCGACTTCTTCTTCGCTTGAGCAGTTTTTTTCGTGGCAGTCTTCTTATTCATTTTGTTCATTTTCCGAGGGCGACCGCGCTTTGTGGGTTTCTCCTCGGATCTCTCCTCCTCATCTTCCTCTGCATCTTCTTCTTCGTCTTCCTGTGCGTCTTCGTCCTCTTCCAAGGAAGAGCCCGCTGGATTTCCGCTCACCAGAGATTCACCGGCTGCGCCTTCTTCTTCTTGCACCCCGAATTCTGCTGCAGTACCCTTCTGTTTTTGCACATCAGTGTCTCCTTGTTGATCTGCCTGCAGATTTTGATGTTGTTGATTTGCCTGCGCATTCTTACCGGCGGACGCAGGGATAGAAGTCGGCGGCTGTTGAAGTTGTTGTTGATTACCCTCCGGATTTTCACCTCCGGTTGCCGGCTGAACCAGAAGAGTCGGCTGTTGTTCATTTTGTTGCTGACCTCCTTCCTCGGGATTTTGACCTCCGGGTGCCGGCGGAATGATGGGAATCGGCTGCTGTTGATGTTGTTGCTGCTGTCCCTCGACGTCGCTTTGGTTGAAGTTGAAGTCTTCGAGTGACGTCGGGCCACCATGTTGAGCCTCCTTATCTATGCCTGCTTCCTCGCTTCCTTCCTGGATCGTGTACAAGTCTCCCACCTCTGGATTGGGTAATCCCGACGCGCGGTCGTCATCGAAATCATGAGAGAAAAAAAGATACTCAGTAACGAAAGCGAAGGTCTGCCGTCTATCCCATATGTAATAGAACTAGGCTCACGCGTTCACTAAGTGACTACGCAAGTCTGCGTAGCGAGAACGCGCTCGCATGGACACGCTGAGCAGAGGAATCATTTTTGTAGAAAAGGGCTTTGCTTGCTACGGTCAACACCAGGGCGCGGAGCCTTGGATCAGCTAGGTACTGACTCTAGGACCCGAAGGCGTGTCCGCCGTGATCATCACTGATGCGGAGGCAATGCTACCTAAATCAACAGGGCGACGAATCTACTCTAATCGAAAAGTCTTCTCATAGGTTTAGTGTGCTCGTGTCTAAGCCTACCTAGCGGCACACGCTTTCACATTGATCCATGGCGGGAACTTATACAAGACCATAACGCTTCCTGATCTTTGCGTCCGGAGACGGGACAGCGCCTTCCTCCTGCTGTGGCTTATTGTTCTCTCCTACCCCTCCTGCCTTCTCTGCTCTGTCTCTGCTTTGCTGCCAATAGCAGCGCTGTGCGGCGCTTGAAAGCCTCTTGAAAATGGTCATAACATTCTTGACTGTACAGGAAAGAGTCTTCCAAAAGTTTAGAGCTTGCGTCTAGTATCTATTGCCCTCAGATGTGTAAAGCTAATACTTTGTGAATAGTTCTAGGAGGAACGCTCCCAAGAGGTACCCACTGATTCACTTTGTCTTTGCTCGTCGAGTTTGGCTGATACATATCTGGGCTGACTATCATCATGTTGGGTATGTGAAGTATATAGACTTAAATAACTGGCGCATGATTGACGGCTACGGATACTATCGAACGCCAGGCCGTGGGGACACGTAAGGCATCAATGAGCAGAAGGCCGTGAGGCTGGGAGTAGCTAGCACGAAAATAAAGTAAGGACGAGGACCCAGGACGAGGACTTAGCATTTCGTCATAAGTTTGGGCAGACCGTGCAGCTGCAGCATCTTAGGACATTCCAATCGACACCTACATGGAATCAACGACGCACTTGTTTCTTTGAAAAAAGTCACGCTTGAAAAGCATTTCCTTGCGTCGATTGGTTTTCCCTTAGTCGTCTTTTTGTCCCCCGCGATGAGCATGCGGAAGGAATTAGAGGGATGAGCGCAACTGCCTGCGGATTTGAGAGTCTTTGCAGTATAACAAAAAGGGGAAGCCTGCGGCCCAGTCTGCTGGTCAGTACGTTACTGGGCCCTATTTAAGCTACTTCTTCAGACAATGTCCCATGCAGCCCGCGTTTGTACGTAGCTAGCATACCTTCGCGAATTAAAAAGACTTGCTTACAGGGGCGACCCCCCTATAGATCCTTATCCACTAGACTACAATCATAAACTGATCCTCTTCCACGTGCGCACGCCAGTGCAGCCGTTGAAGATAATTGCCAAACATCTTCTCGAAGAAGATTTTAGAGAAAATAACTTGAGGGGAGAGAGAGGAGACTCAGACTCGATCAGAGGACTAGGTAGAGCAGAAGTTTTTTCTCTGTGCTCCACCTTCACGAAGAGAAACGAGCCATACCGCGAAGAAAAAGAAAACTACCCCTAGGAGCCCAATTTATTTCACAACGATTCCAATAATTTCACCACTGAAGACGATTCAACTTCAAACCTCGGCTGTCAAATAGTGACAAACTATCACATAACTTGGCTTGCGCAAGAATCCGCTTGAATGGGAGGCACATCAAACCACTCGTGGTCGCGAGTTAGAGCCCACTGACATGCGTTAAATTCAACGACCGTAAAAAAGTTGACTCATCTATCGTCTACGTAAAATATCCGCGCAGGCGTAGTCTGTGTTAGTTTCATGAGCACCCAAATGAGTAAAATGAGTCTGCGTCTTCTACTAGTAAAAAAACCTCTCGGATTTTTATTCAAGCAGCAAAGATATAAACACTGATCCAACTCCGACAACATATAATGAATATATGTTGTCGGAGTTGGATAAAAAGTAATAGACCAAAATAAGGAGACCTATCGATCACTACAATTTCTACACTCATAAGAAGCCGTCACTCTCCGGTATGCCCCGCTGGACGGCCCATTCTCGGAACCAGATTAGAGCGAACCCACGTGCTGCTACAAAGTAAGAAAACTTTGTTGAGGAGAAGGGTTCACAAATACAATTGGATAATGAATCAGGACTGCAACAGAATGGAGATCGTTCAAGCTGATGCACTTGCTTCTAGTCCCTGTCTTTGCGTTTCCTAGTAGTCTCTCTACAGCAACTTCAACAGTTGGGATGAGCATGAGTGTCCGTCATGTAGGACATTCAGTTGTCGTGTTTGGTAGACATAAAAACAGCTCACTGCGCCACTGCGATGCAAACCGTTGACTTCTTAGAACTGCCCGCCGCGAGTCCGTCTCTGTGTCTCTCAGCATTCTCTACAGTTTGGGTATCTATTAAACCCATACGATCAAAAAGAAGAGTGCTGTCGTGCAAAGAGTGGACTTACTGCTTGCTTAAGAGATCTTTTCTTTCTTTGAAGGTACCCACCGCGATGCTCTGCGCAACTTCGGCAGAGGATTAGACGATAAAAGTGGCACACGGGGGGGGAGTCAGTTGTCGAGTCAAACTCATGAGATGTTTACTAGTCAGATTCTTCCTTCTTGAAGCGATCTAGTAGGTTTCTACTCAGGTTCATCTGCAATACATAGAATAGTAGACTAATATACTAACTTGCGTCACTTACTTTATTGAGATCGACTAAGTAAGACCATAGCGTCGGCCCATGGCTTGCGTCATCCACTCGGAAAATTCCACGCCAGGACTCCGGTTCGTTGCTAGTTGTACATCTTTGATATTAGAGTAAGGGATAGGACATCGTCAGAAAGAGCGGCCGGCTGCGATTCCTTGTTGTTTGCAGGTGAATCATTTGCAGCAGCGTTGATAGTGATACGGAGTAGCGCCAAGGGATATACTTACTGACTCCATTACGCTCATCCAATTCATTTGCTTGCACGTTTTTCAAGGGCGAGTCTGCTTTTTTATACCTAAGAAAGTGCCTCGTCTGATAAGAAGTGAGGATATATAAGCTGCAATCTATCATCTACAACATAACTGGACAAGTCGGAAATTGAATCGGGTCGCACAGGAACAGCCTGAAGTCGGCAACGTGAACCACTTCCCGCTGGCTAGTCGCACATTAGAACGAAAGAGAGAAAGCGACGGATAGTGCTGGGGCTTTCTCTTGGACTACGATAAGAGGGAATCAGGAGGCTATACAGGCAGCACCTCGCCAATCAGGATCAAATATGGTAGCATTCTTCATTCGTGCGCCGAAGAGGATCTTGATTCAATGCATGACACACAGAATTGCTGAGAAAAGGCGCTCATGACTGAATCAAGAAAGACGGACTCACTGTGCTCGTAAGTGTGTCGCCAAGAGGTGAGCTGGAGCCAGTCGCTTGTCATCCAT